GCACGTGGTATAACATCACTCGAGATCCCTTAAGCTTTGTAACAATCACAATCTGGTCGCATAAATGAAAGTTTCATCATTCCATTCTGGTTTCTTCTTTTATTTTACATTTTATTTCAGTCCCTATAATTTAGTTATATAATATTTGTTCATATTTATATTTTAGACCTTTAATTTCCCATAATATTCGATTGTAGTCCTTAATATTTACGAATGTATGAAATCGTGTATTTTATGTTTTAAAGCGTATGTTTTGTTCCAAGTTCATTTTAGTCACCATCTCTAATGCCTTAGTTCTTTGGGTTTATTGCTCATTTGGTCCTTGGTATTCTGTTTCTGTGATTTTTTTACTTCCTGAAATTATTATATAATTTAGTTTATTTTTTATTTTATTTTTATCATGTATGTATATTTATAATTTTTATGTAAATATATGTTATATTAGATTATATGTGTATGTATTTATTTAATATTTTTTAAACCCTTTTTATTAAGCATGATTAGTCTTCATTTTAATTCATTGTATTTGTAGATGTGTGTTTTAGTTCGAATTTGTACCTTGATTTCTTATTAGTTTCTTTACAACTTACAGTTTCATATATATACATGTATATATATAAATGAAATGAATCTTATTATTCATATTTACACTATAAATGTATTTTATATTTTTTTGTAAATATGTATTATATGGGTTTGTTCGATATATTATGGTTCCTTTACGTATTTAAATATATATCTGTTTAGCCTTTAATTTGTATACCTTTGTGTATGGTATTCAAAAATTTTCAAGAACACGTATCCGTAGAGTGAGAGTCGAAAGTATCACTTAGTCGAAGTGATGCGATCCGATACGACATTTTAATGAAATGTGAACTTGAAATAAAATTAATTTTATTTGGCTAATTAATTCTTTTTATTTTAAGTTGAACAATGCAATGCATGTTTCTAAATAGCGATTTATTTTATGCAAAAATGTCTATTTTCAATTTATATTCGATTCGTGTTTTATCAATGAGGGAATATTCTTTACGGATAAGAAATAGTCGAAATAGCTTTCCCGACAGAGGATTGCTAATCTCGAGATTTCTTTTCAAGTTAAAGAATTTTCTCTAATTAATTAATTCAAAACAAATTAATTAAATTCAATAAATATATAATATTTTAACTTTATATTTGATTCATGATTTCCACCATTTCGACAACGTGTAAGCGACACAGTACCAATTTTGGGCGATGTGGGGTGTTAATCCTTCCCCACGCGTAATCGACTCCCGGACCCATCAATTCGAATTTCTGGTAAACGCAAACCATTTTTGTCTTAAAACTGATTTTTTAAAAAAAATTATTTTAAAAGACTTTTTTTAAGTATTCGACATACCTAGCCCGAAGGTCGATGTCGACTCCTATCCAATTTCATTCAAATTAATCCAAAATCCATCAATTTTTCAAAATAAAGTCATAATTATTTTTAAACTTAATTGTTTTATAAAAAAAAATGGTTATGAAACCCTTTTCTCTTTTCTTTTGTGGTTTTACAGGGTTTAGCATCTGAGATTCGATTCATATTTTCTCGGGATTCCATTGATTGATTTCAGTATAAGAGCACTTGTTTCATTTTTTGTTTGTAATTTGGGATAAATGCATTAGTTTTTTGGGCGATTTATTAATTTTGGTTTCTGTTTGATTAATGAATTTTTCCGAATTAAAACTCGGTTGATTTGAGGCACTGATTAATTGATTTTGTTTATAGATATGGCGTTGTACAGTGAAAAAGAGTTGTATTTATTCTCACCAAGGGACTGAAAATACCCAAACGGAAGTCGATCGAACCGGGCGGCCGGAAAAGAATACTGGAAGACAGATTTTACAATTTCATATTTAAGCCAATGAAATGATGACACGTGTCATCTTTGTATTGATTTAAAATTATTAAAATATAATTATTTAAAAAACTAATTTTTGCTGATATGGCATTTACCACGTCATTACCTTTACATATGTGGCATTATCACGTCAGCGTGTGATGTCAGGTAAGCTTGCCATGTCATCTCCATGCGTTACCGTTAGTTGACTAATGGTTTTATCCGACGAGAGTGTTTTTTTACTCAAAATGAAATGTTAAGAGGTCAAATGTTCAATTAAAAAAATAATACGGACAAATTTGACACCATTGTCAAACGGTAAGATTATTTTGTTGCATTATGCCTTTTAATAAATGCCTTTGATTCTGCAGATGTGAAGAAATTCTGCTCCTGCATGTCTTAAAGCCAGTAAAATCAACACCACCCATGAATTTGAACAAGATCATTTTCCTTTGGAGAGAAACTTTGTTTTCTCACTTATATGAGCCTGAATTCAAGACCAAAACTTTAATGCTTAACGAAGTTACAAATCATATTGTTAGCAAGCCTAATTTCATTTTCTACTGACAAGTTCGAGTCTTGAGCCTTGTACATCGAACAATGTCAGTAGAATTTCACTGCCTATATGAATTCAGATATAACTGTAAGGCACTACGAAATTCAAACTCTTGCAACACATAATTCGACAATGATTTAACTATATGTTCATGTTTCATTTCTTGTCCATAAAAAAGGGAACATGATTCATATTTCATTCAAGCTTCAATGATACAATTATTACAAAATTCATAGCAATCTCATGAACTTGTTTAAAAAAAAACAAAGTAAAAAATAGGAGATTAAAATGGAAAAAAATCGAAATCGAAAATGAAATTCAAGATAAACGTACGGTGAAAAGATCGTTGTCTTGAAGGCGAGTAATCTGGAGTTGGGAGTTGGGAGTTGGGAGTTTGGGTTTAACAACCGTTGTTCTGATTTTGGTTCTGTCCCCTAATTTTCCCTTCTTTGTTCCTGCCTCCGCTATTGACGCAATTACTCTTCTTCACCATCATTCCACTGTAATAAGTAACCAATAAATTAAGGGTAAACTATAATCATAGCTACTAACCTTGTAAGTATGATTACATTTCGTCACCCAATTTTAAGTATGATTACATTTCGTCACCCAATTTTAAGAACCTACATGTTCATCACTAGACTAATATAAATTACCTATTTAGCTATCCACCTATCACTTTATATCTGTTTTGGTTACTTAACTATTATTGTTTTCAAAACTATACTTAATATTATGTTTCTATTTTCGTTAAAAAAAATTACAATTATATTAACTTGGCATGATATGTTATATTTATATATATATATATATATATATATATATATATATATATATTTAAATTTTCACGTCATTGTATGTTTCATAGTTAATAAATTTTCAATGACACTTTTAATTTTTTTGTCACCATCTTAAGAGAATAAAAATTCCAAAGCTGTTAAGCTCGTCACCCAGGGATGGAGCGAAGGGGACATGTGAGGGTAATAACTCCCACTTGAAAATTTTAAATTACTATATATTTTAGATATTTTATATATTTTCAATTTATAATATGTTTTTGTCCCTATAATTTTATAATTTTATCTCTTTTTAAAATTTTAAAAGTTCTCTCAAAATATAAGAGCTTACGTCCGTTCTTATCGTCACCCATAAAATTTAAACTTTTGCTCCAAGAGGGCAGGTACCCAGCCATTGGATTAGGCGTCTTATTGGTGATTTGTTTTACCAATATATAGGGTAAGCAACACCATTCACTACTAAATTTTACTCTCTTCCTTATTTTATTCACTATACTTTCAATTCTTTTAATTTACTCATTGAACTTTCAAATTATTCATATTTTGGTCACTCTAAATTAATTATTTTTATTATTCTATGAGGTGATATTTTTTATCGTTATTAAAATATAAAAATAAAAAAATAAAAAAGTATTTTTTATTATTGAATTAAAAAAATTAAATAACAATTTCGGATAACACTATTTTTTTTTGAAAATAGGATAACACAAAAACTATTATATAACCACTGCTATTGTGATAGTGAAACGTTATTTAAATCTTGATTTGAGCACCTCATTTGCAGCTGTTTTCGATATGAATGTAAAGAAACCCAATGTAGAAAAGGTTGCCGTTATTAGTTTTTTAAATATATTAGAAGCTAAAAAATAAGTGCCAGTTTTCATAAATAAATAAAAAAGTGCTAGTGGGTGAAATCAGAAGAAGTCTAAGGAGCGATAGTCTAATTTAAGATTAAAAATTAGCGATTTTGGCCGCAATCAAAAATTTGATAAATATAATAACATTTTAAGTTGAGCGCAATCTAAATTGTTAGATTCTTTTTAACATTTTCAATTAAATCGAAAATATTATATTCTTTATAATATTTGCGGTCATAACACTTTAGATTCAACCAAAAATGTTAGTGAAAGTGTAACATTTTAGTTGCACTCAACCTAAAAATGTTATATTTTTATCACATATTCAATTGCACTCTATAATTATCATTTTTTAATCTTAAATTAGATTTGCACCCCATAATTATTGTTTTTAATCTTAAATTATTACCGCATAACATAACTACCATGAAATCAAGGCTTGGTTGACTAATGTTAACGTTTATAAGAGTAGTTTTTAATGTCCTATTAATGCTGTAATTATGGCACTGTTATGATATACGAAAGAAATCTATTAAACATTTTTGTTGGTTTTAAGATCATTTCAGTTTTAAAATGAAGTTATGTTTTAACTTTTAATTTTTCTGGTTTAATTATTCTTTAAGACCTTCAATTTTAAAATTAGTGAAATAAAACCATAACTCCTTTAAATTTTATGGGTTATTCAATTTTAAAGACCCTATTTGTTTCAAAGTTAAACTTGCCACCTCATAGTTCAATCCTGATTCCGTCCCTGCAGTTAACGATCCAATGCTCAAAATGTAATAAATCGATAAAATAAGTGACTGAAATATAAAAATTTTCAAATTTGATGATCGAAAGTAAACAAAATTGAAACGAAGGTGACCAAACTTATAGTTTACTCTTTGTTCAAAAGGGATCCGATGACAAGTTTAATGACAATTATTTCTTTAAAAGAGATGGATTCTAAATGATATCCTGCACGGAGACGATACTAATGACACTATTCTGTTCCGGTAATAAGAAAGAGCCAAATCAACAAGTTATATGCAATTGAAAAAGGTTACAAACATGGGTAGAGATGAAATAACAGGATACCTCGTACATGATAGTTTGTCTTGATCCTTCAGCGAAGAAAGAGAAGATCTGAAATGCCTTCTAGGTTCTACCATCCACGTCGAACCCCGATCCTGTCCACCCGGGCGCTGTAGATCCTCTACCCTTGGGCACGGCACCAATCCCTTTTCCTCTTCCTTGATAATGACTCTTCTTCCCTTTTACTTCTCCATCATTCGTGGACAGTTGATTCTTCGTATTAATTGCTGCAACACTTCCACTATTATCTACATTAGGTGCATTGTCGGAAACAGTACAGCCTGGATTTGTTGTTTCAGGCACCGAGGAAGAATCTATAACTGCAGCACCCTGTGCTTCTCCAACAGCTTTCTTGTCCTAAACGTGATCCAAGGGAAATCTTTCAAAAATCTTTCTATGATATATACACACATACCGGAGCTTAGAAAAATCCAAAACCCTGACAATACAAACGGCATACAAAATGATCCTGGGTGAGCTTGGAGGCATTCTTGAAACCAATTTCCATACATCTAGACTCCAGAGTAATCTTTTATGTAAGAACAAACATGATCTCAGAAAGATCGGCAACTTCGGACTTTAATCTCACTTTATTTTTCCCATTCCATTTTTTTATTATTACAGATAAGCGGCAGCTTGGAGTGGACTGGTTAATAGAGCAACTGACTAAAGGGAACCAAACATTAACAAATAATCAAGGACGATACTAGTCGGTAAGGAAACTTGAGTTTGTAAATGAGCACAGATACGAATATCTTTTCCATTTCGATGTGACAACTCCTTATCAATCCAGTTTATAACAGTGAATGCAGAAATGGATCAGCAATAGAAAATAAGAAGCAGAACATACAAGTAAAAAACAACCATTTTTCTCCAGGTGACATGCCTATTCCATGACTGTTTTAAAGAAGCTATCATAGAACACCATATAAGCATTGGATACTAAATGAACAACTTGTCGTGTAATAAGAAGGAATATAAGGAAATCTTACATGAGAAGACAAAGTGGATGACCTACTTGGGTTCAGAGCTTCCAACCGCCTTTTCAACTCTTCAAGTCGAGCAAACTGAGAATTACTACTTTCTTGAACCTATCAAGTGAACAGTATCAAATTATTGCACAGGGCATTAATGCATGGTTATCCACCTACACCAAAAGAACAATACCAGATTTTTTAAGTCCTCACATAACTTCTGCTTTATTGCTTCCTCATCATTCAACGCCTTCACTGCCGCTTCCCAAGTCTAAAATACATATAAAAGAGCTGATAAAACTTAAGCCAGGAGGCGATATACTTGCTAGTAAAATATATTGTAAAAGAAACTGAAACATTATTCAGAAGCCTTCAGCAAGTCCAAAAAATTCAATTTAGGCCTTAATTCAAATACAACCTTTTACAAAGTCAGCAGTATTCTAGACCCAATAAGCCACAATGGGAAGAGTTTGAATTCAATTAGGATTCTGATTTTTTATCTTTATTTATTAGTTTATCTTATTTGTTAAGTTTATCTAGTAGCTATTATGAATTTATCCCTAGAATTTATCTATTATTTAGAGATAATCTATTAAGCTTGTAACCTTTATTTAAGAGGGAAATTGCAAAGGAGTAAAACAAGTTGAGTTTCAGTAATTTGTGGTAGACTACTCCCCTAGAGTTCCAAGGTAAATAGGCAAAAATAGGAGACGAAACAAGGGCGAAGACCCTTCTTTCAAATCTTAATTCCCTTTCATCATCCAATCATTCGATCCCATACCCGGGTTCATAACAGAAACCGTTATGTATAAGTAAATCCAAGAATCTACAATTCCAGGTAGAAACACTAATCAACTTACTACCTCTGTCCTAAACAGACAGAACTATAATAACGATTTGTCCTTTGCATTGGAAGGTTTTTCATGTTAAAATTTTAAGATTTGACCTCTCATGTCCCAATCAACTTACTACCTCTGTCCTAAGCAGGTAAAACTATAATAATGACAACTCTACTTCGATTAAGAAAAGATGAGATATAAGGCCTGATGCAAGAACACTTAACACTTGGATGAGAGAGAGAGAGAGAGAGAGAATGCAACAAACTTTTCGTGCTTGTTCTTCCTTCTGCTTAGCACTACGTATTCTCTCAGTTGACATTTCAATTTTCTTTCTCATATGTTCAAGGGCTGAAAGAATGTACGACACATTATGCAAAGTAAGAATCACTTCTCTATAGAAAAATACACATAAATGAAGAAATATTTCAGTTAGGCAACAACACATCAACCTGCTTTTTTAGGCCCAGCAGTGAGTTTCATCTCCATTGTAAGATTTGCTAGTTCTCTTTCAACATCACGGATTTTAGAATAATTTTCTTCTATGTATCTGAAAGTATGAATCAAAAGAGATTAGATAAAATCCCCAAAAAATAGTCATGAGAAAGAAACTGAAAGAAGAGAAAAGACAACTTTAGAAGGCATAATACTCTTTCAGCCTTTCTTTGTACAAGTAAATGCTACACACGGGGAGATACAATTCCTAGATACAAACAGAATTTTTTACTATAAATTGTTAAACTCTAATAACTGAACCCAAGAAAATAAACAAGCAAAGCTCTTTTAAACCTGACTAATTGAGTGAGTACAAGATAATCCTAAATTTAACGACACAAAAGAAATGCCGGAGTTCATAATCATGTGTGAATTGAATCAATTTCAGATCTGAATAATACGACTTAATAAAGCATTAACATTGAATCCATTATGATTTAGGATTTATTTTTAGTATCAAACTCATTTGAAAACTAACTTTATGCAGCAGCACAAATCAGCACTTATCTCTATAGATTTCAATTACAGTATGCTTTAAGGTAATTCTTCAAAGGCTAACCATTTATAGAAAACTCAGATATTCGTCTATACATAATACATTCCTCCTTGGTGTTACTGAATTAACAAACACCATTGAACAGAATCGTCCATCCTGGCCAGGTTTACAACAATTGAACCCATACAAGTGAAAAATCAATGCTCAAAACAATGTACATATCCAAAAACAGAAATTAAAGTCAGAATATGAACATACTTCTTGAGTTGAACCCGCTCTTCCTCGATTATCTGCCGCCACAGAAATAAAAAAAATCTGGCCATGAGTTTTTGACCAGAGCAATCACGAAACACAGAGAGAAGAGAGAAAAAAAAGAAGTGACCTTCTCAGTGTAGGCGATAACAGGAGATTCCCTGGGGAGTCCATCGGGTCCGATCTCGGGTTCGAAGGAACGAGTGGAGGCCATTTTCTTTGTGTTGGTTTGGAATCGAAATCGAAACTAGAAATGGAAATGGAAAACAGTCTTGAGATTTACCAGATATGATTTTACAGAAACTAATTGTATTCGTTTCATTTCCGGAAGCAATGCATTGCTGCCTTTCTACCTTAATATTTTTTTTGGGGGGGTTTGGTTTTCTTCAATTGACGGAGAAGGGAACAATAAAAATGCACGTCCGATCGTGGCAAAACGTGTTTTATCTTTTGATTTGCCAGCCCTAGATGTCAAGGGGAGGCAAAGTTCAAGGTAAGTAGTGATCTTAAATGTATTAAAATAATTCATATTTTTATTTTTTTTTTGTTTCCATCTCGTTCGTTAAAGCATCTTAATTAATCTATATAAATCTAGATTATACACTTGGTTTTGGTCAGTCTCTTAGTGAAATTTTTTTCGTACATAAATACTCGAATTCAAGATCTAATTAAATAATATCAAATTACTTACTATTTGAACTAATTTCATAGATAATAATTGATATGTTTATTAATGTTACGTCTTCAAAAAAAATTACTCGAAGAATGTGTCTAACCTTCTTTTTATAAATTTAAAATAAAAATTTAAAAATATAAATGTGGCACGTGTCAATTAATATATTTTTTAATGATTGTTAATGCGTATACACCTAAAATTATAATGGCAAAAATATTAATCACGTACTTTGAACGAAAAAAAGTTCTTTAGGCATTTAATTTTAGCAAAAGATAAAATTTTAACATTTATTTTTGTATTAAGTCTTTTTAAAAGTATAAATTATATCATTGGTCATTAATAAATCATTTTTCTCAGAGATCAAGTTAAGTAAAAATATCATTAATTTTATTTTAATATATCAATATTTAATAATGATGTTAATATTCTGAACAAATTCTATTTTATAATAATTAAATATATAATAATGATGTTAATAATCCGAATTCTATTAGTCTCGATTAATAACCTTATCGTTTGATTAATATGTTTTATGTTTATGATACAAAATATAAGTATTTATGCTAAATATGTGATGTATGTATAAAGGTTACTATGTTTGTAGTCATATGTTAGTTAGAATGTGCTGAGATAATGATATGTATGTTTGATTTACGGTTTTATTGGGGTTTGTATGTATTATGTATGTTTAATCTACGTTTTTTTTCAGGTTTTGTATTTTTTTAATAGTATATAGTGATTATAATGTAGTATATGTTCGGAATTTTTTAAATTTATTAACAACACACATCTTGTAGATGTAATTGTTTGAATAGGGTCTCTAGAGAAAATAATATTATCTTTTATCACTTAATATATTTATATGTTAAACTCATGTTTTAATTATTTTTTTTTATATATTTATATGTTAAAATCATGTTTTAATTATTATTATTTATATATTTATATGGGGGAGGATTTGTATGCATTGTATAATGCTAGGTCAATTCTTGGTTAGAATAGCATGTTGAATGTGTAAAGTTGATTAAATGATGATCTTGGTTGCTTAATATCACATGTTATGAATGTGGAACAATAATCAGACTTGGAAAATTGATAAAATATTATAAATGATTATTTATTATCTGTCAAATGTGTTTACACCATGTGTAAGATAATGTAATCACTTTTATGTTTTTGTTTTTTTTTTCATGTTGCGGTAATAATATACGTTGGATGTATTTTTGTGTTAGAAATATGCCTATATTTGTATCTTAGTATTTAAGTAAGATTTTAAGATTTTCTTAAGGTTTAAGAAAGGTCAAAATTATACTTAAAGGGTATAGGGTTTTGAAACCCATAAGTTCGATTTTGATTTTGAAATTTTAATAGGTTTTTGAGTAATAGAATTGACATTCATATGTTAAGATTTTCAGAGAATCATTTCGTAGTTAAATCTATAGAGGAATAATATCTTTAGATACAAATCATCTACGTCTCTCGGGAAATTGCAGTTCTTTGACATGACCTATGGAAGACACCACATAACTATCATAACCAAAATCATTTGGTAGTAGGTCACATCAATCAGATTTGTCAATCTGCAAGTAGACATAATGATTTTACGCCTAACACTAACCCTAAGGGTCACTATAAAACCTCTCGATTAAGCTTAAGATAATTAAAATAATTGGACAAGATGAATATGATCTACTAAAGTAAAGCCCAACATAAATTATTTACAATTTTTTGAATAAAATTATTTACATTTTTAATTTCTAACAGAAATCACATGAAAATTCATGCATCAATGACATCTAGAGTAACTTTTGTATCATAAGTTTTGACATATTAAATAATGATATTATATAACATTTGACACCATATTCATGTCAAGGATTTGTAATAATGAAATGACAATTTCTATCTCATTCTTTGCATGATCCTATCGTCTAAAGATGTCAATATTGCATAGAGTAGGTGAAATATTGAAAAGACAATTATTACTCGTTCTTTGCATGGTTTTGTCATGGAAAGATGCTGATATTGCAAGGAGTAGGTGAAATGCTGAAATGGAAATTGCAACTCATTCTCGGCAGGGATGGTTCGAGTCTGGCCATGCTCTTAAAAGTTTTAAATTATATATTTTAAATATTTTCTTTATATTTTTTATTAATAATATGTTTTTGTTTCTTAGAACTTTATAAGTTCATCCCTTCTAAAATTTTAAAAATTCTCTCATAACATAAAATCTTGTGGTTGTCCCGGATTCTTGACATGATTCTTTCATTGAATGATATTAGCATTGCAAAGAGTGACATAACAAAGTGACAATTTCTCTCAAATTTTAGTGCATTAATCAAAAAGTATCACCTACATAATAACAGTCATATTTTACTTTCATTTGGGACACCCTAATATAGATAGCTTCAGTTTAGTGAAATGAGATTCGTTAGAATTTCTTGGTGCATCTGTGATAACAATAACCCACATAGGCTGCTTCTTTCTTCTTATCTGCATGAACAAGCAGAATAAGAAATATGAAGTGTAATTTGGTACCATAAAATGATTTAAAAGGGGAATCAATTTAGATAGTTTTTGTACCGCATTTGACAAATTTGGGCATGCTATATGCACAGTGAACAGTGCAATTGTAGATCAGCTGCGAGTAATAAAGTCTGCATCTTCTACCACAAATTTCATTGCACAAGTTGTTTAGAATTGGAACTTTGTGTCTCATGCACATCGTGGAACACCTTGTTTTACATGCATCATCTAGAGTCCAAGGATGTTTGGGAGGACATGGAACAGGTTTTGTAGGTGATGGTGGTTCTGGAGATGGAGGAGGAGGCGTCGGGATTTTGTCGTTCGACTCCGTTCCAAGAGGAAATTCGATTTCAAAAGGCTCATTGGCGTCTTGAGGAAATTCATCAGATTCTGAAGAGAGAGAGGTATTCTCAGGTGATAGCTTTTGGGTCTGCAAGGGGTCCGAAACAAGAGAAATTTCTTCGGAAGAAGAAGAATTAGAAGGGAAGAGTGATAGGGATTCAACTGCAATAAGCATGAACAAAAGAAAGACTACATTTCTCATGGAAATTATTTCCATTGTCTCAAAATCTTTCTGAGTAGCTAACACACAAACAACAAATTTATATGCCAACAACCTTTTGGAAAGCCTGCCATGCATTGCTTCTTATTATAATTGCTAGCTAATTTCTAATTAACAGCTGATTGAGTGTAAAAACATTCAAGAGATTTATAAAGGAGTTGTGATGTATTTCATATTTATACACACACATATCAAAGCCAAACCCTCCTGCAAATGAAAAATAAATAAATTCTAGGTAGTTAGGCTTATAATTTTTTTATATGTGAATGATCTTGAAATTATAGGTGTTCATGGGCTAAATCGAGTTCTAATAGAATCCATATATGTCATTCATATCATACATATTTGTCTAAATTCGACTTGATTTTAAGTATATTCCAAGTGACTCATCAACTCAACTACCATTTTTTAACTCCTGTCATGCTTCGAGCAGACAAACCCTATTGTACTTAAAGGTTATATTTGTTCTTCTCGTAATATAAGTCGCAATATTGAGTTCGATAAGCAATCAAGTTGGAATTGAGAGACGCGAGAAAAAACATAAGATTTCTTTTCGGAAGAACAAGATATGACTCCTCCACTAGCTGCGGATCCTCCGCAGGACATGACTCCTCCACCTTCACCTGAACCGATCCATGAAGAAACTTTCGGATAAAGTTCGAGTGAAAGACCATAGAAATACAGGAGTGCCAGGGATTTGTATCGCTCCACTGAAGCCATTAATGATTTGCCTAATAGTAGATAGTGAGCCAGTTGAAGTTATAGGTGTTTATGGGCTAAATCGAGTTCTAACAGGAACCGTATATGTCAACCATATCATATATAGTTGTCTAAATTTGACTTGATTTTAAAATTTATTCAAGTATGTTCTAAGTGACTCATCTCCTCAACTATATCATCTTTTTTAACTCCAGTCATGCTTCAAGCAGACGAACCTATTTTACTTAAAAAGATATATTTGTTCTAGTAATCCTCGTCCTATTTGTCATTTTTATCATTGGATATCACCCTCATATTATGCCTCTGCGCCAACTATATCCAATATATCCATTCCTAAGACTGTTAGTGAAACAAGCTATGATGAATGAAATGAATGCTCTTCATGCTAATCATACTAGGAATCTAGTTCACTTGCCACCGGATAAAACTGCAGTTGGTTGCTGATCGGTGTACATGTTAAACAACAAAGCTGAAATAAAAGGAAGTAATAGAAACACAGGAGAAAATAGAAGAAGAAGATCAGGTTAACCAAAAGCTGCACAAGCTACATTGTCCTTTCTTATTTATTCTCTAGTCTTAGTTCTGCATGAGTTAAACTCTCATTTTTCATCTGTTGACAAGCCTGACATTCGGTAACAAATTTTTGCACATCAATCTACATTCCCTTCCAGCAGAAACTTGAGGACAACCTTCTCCAAGTGCACAAGATGACCCCCAATAGATGAAGTATGAAATTCTCCTAAAAGGAGGGACTTCAACATGTTTTCATTGGGTATCACTATCTGCCTTTTGTTTAAAACCAAACTATCCTGGATAGAGTACCTCGAATAGTGACTATTCTCTTTCTTAATTTGTTGCTTGATATTACGCAACTTCATATCCAATTCTCTTGCTCTTCGAATATCGTCAGTTATTCCAAGAATAGGTTGAGAGAGTGCCATCAAGTTTGTCGTGGATT